AACTAGGACTCCCTAAGCCCCTCCCATTCTTCTGGGGTTTGGAATGGAAACTGTGAGGGAGGTGCTCAGTGTTGGGGGCTGACTTGGGACAAGGACTCTTCAGCAGCCTAGGGCCTCTCTCATGCTATCAAGTTCTTGCTGGGGTGGGTGGTCCAGGGCTGCTTACTCCTTGAAGGTCATGTACACCATGAGGTCCACCACCCTATTGCTGTAGCCATATTCATTGTCAAACTAGGAAATGAGCTTTACAAAGTTGTTATTGAAAGCAATGCCAGCCCAAGCATCAAAGGTATTAAGAGTGGCTGTCACTGTTAAAGTCACAGGAGACAAGCTGGTCCTCAGTGTAGCCCAAAATACCCTTTAGTAGGCCTTTGGATGCCTGCTTCACCACCTTCTTGATGCCATCATACTTAGTAGATTTTTCCAGGCGTGTCAGATCCATGACAGACACATTAGGGATAGGAACATGGAAGGCCATGGCAGTGAGCTGCTCATTCAGCTCTGGGATGATCTTGCCCACAGCCTTGGCAGCACCAGTGGATGCAGAGGTGATGTTCTGGGCAGCCCCACAGCCATCAAGTCACAGCTTCCTAAAGAGACCATCCACAGTCTTCTGGGTAGCACTGGTGGCATGGATTGTAGTCATGTGTCCTTCCACAATGCTGAAATTGTCATGGATGACCTTGCCTAGGGGGTTAAACAGTTGGTGGTACAGAAAGTATTGCTGACTATCTTGAGTGAGTCATCATACTTCTTATGGTTCACATGCATCATAAACATGAGGACATCAGCAGAAGGGGCAGAGATGATGACCCTTTTGGCCTCACCCTTCACGTGGGACTAATTCTTCTCTATGGTGATGAAGACACCAGTAGACTCCTCAACATATTTAGCATCAGCATCACCCTATTTATTGTTGGCAGGATCTTGCTCCTGGAAGATAGTGATGGCCTTCCCATTGATGACAAGTTTCCCTTTTTCAGCCTTGACTGTGTCATTAAACTAGCCATGGGGAGAGTCATACTGCAACATGTAAACCATGTAGTTGAGGTCAAGTAAGTGGCCATTGGTGACAACAATATCGACTTTGCCAGATTTGATGGAAGCCCTAGTAACCAGGCACCCAATATGGCCAAATCGGTTCATTCTGACTACCATCACCATAATGTTTTAGAGAGGAATCTGGCACTGCACAATAAGATGCTCCTGTCTCTGGAATAAGGATTTGGCTGTTCTTTTTTAACTGCTTGAGAAACATTTAAATATTTCAATAGCAAATACAAAACTTTAGAAATATATTAAAGTTCTTTTTGTCAAAGCATGGGAATTCTAGTTTTGTCAGTTCATTCTCCAGTCACATGAAATCCAAGGAGTGCTTGGAAATTTTTCATGAGATGTGTTTCAGTATCATGAACCTGAACAAATTGCTTAGGCAGTTACTCAGAACTCTAAGGACTTCCTTAGAGACTGAATGTAGTTTCACAAAGCATAGCAACAACAGCATCTGAAGTTGACATATTTTTACATATAACATTTGTAAGGACCTTTCTTCTGACCCAGAATAACAACTCTTTCTTTTATAAATTTACAGGCAGAGAAATATTTTCTACTTACTTTGAAGAGGTTTCTCCTAACAACCAATTAAGAACCTGAATATTTCAAAGTTAAACTATGTAATTCTGTCAGCACTTAGTGTTAAAAACAACTTATGACTATCAAAATATACAGTGTAGGAAAGATAAGTCAAAGGTACATTACTTAGGCAGTGATTAAAAGCATGCAGAACTTTATTTCCTTAATCACCTGTACTTGACCCTGCACTTTAGAACTGAATACTCTGGAAAGCCTTATTCCTGACTTTAACATTCCTTCTTTGCTTGCTTTGTTTCTAAGCAAAGGTTTGTTATGCAGCATTTAAGGTTACAACTGGGCCTCATTCCATTTGCATTTCTCCTGCCTATGAACTAGAATACCAAGCATCCATGCAACTCCAGTACAAATGATTTAACTCAGAAATTCACAGGAAGATTTCAGCTTCTTGGTCAGGTCCATGATGCCCACTTATTCTTGACTGGATCTAAGAAATAACAGCCAGTCGTTAGGACATAACTCTAATGGGCAGCTCATGGAAGCAGCATAGGGTCACACTGTTGTTAAATCCTGGTCTGTCCAGAGACCTCAACTTAAGGTCATAATTTAAAATCATACTTCAAGGACCAGTGAGACCTTTTCCTTTATCCATGAAGTATTTTAAATTATATTTTTAAGTTCTTAAGTGTTAAATGTGATTTTCCTAATTTTTTTCAGTTACTGATTTCTAGTTTGAATCTACTGTGGTTAAAAAAAAAACAAAGTTGGATTTCAATTTGTCTATATTTAATGATGTTTATTGTATGTTCCAGGGTATCATCTAATTTTTTTGTACATGAATGTTCAATCCAACTTTTTGTGATAAGTACAACTCAAATACCCACAATAAGTAAACTGAAGAAAAAAATCACATTATTTCCATACAATAGAATATAACTCAAAAATTATTTTAAAAGATGTTAATACATACAGTGAAGAAGTTAGACCACATAGTACATACTACATGAATTGTATTTATACACAATTCTAGAAAATGCAGACTCTTCACTAGATATAGAATTTTGAATGATGGGGTGAGTCAGCTTCTTAGTATATAGCTCAGGCTAGCTTCAAACTTTCAATGAAGTCTAAGCTGTGCATTCCAAGCATTAAAATTGTGGGTGTGTGTACCACTATACTTGGCTTTGGTAATCTTTTTCTTTCTTCATTAGAAAAACACTATGCTACTTCCTTCCAGCTTCCAGGGTTTCTAAAAGGTACCTACTGTCACTTAATTTGCTGTAACTCTTTGGCTATTTCTATGCATATGATTGTCTTAGTTAGGGTTTCTATTGCTATGAAGAGACATCATGACCATGCTAACTCTTATAAAGAAAAAACATTTAATTGGGCTGGCTTATAGTTTCGGAGGTTTAGTCCAGCATCATGGCAGTATCGGATGGCAGTGTGCAGGTATAGGTGGTACTAGAAAAAGAGCTTAGAGTTCTACATCTTGATATGCAGGCAGCAAAAGCAACTGTGTGTCACACTAGATATAGTTTGAGCATATAAGACCTTAAAGCACACATCTATACTGACACATTTCCTCTACCAAGGCCATACCTACTCCAACAAAGCCACAACTCCTAATATTGGCATTCCCTTTGGGCATTCAAAAACATAAGTCTATTCATTCAAACCATCACAATGTTCTACCTTGTTTATTTGAGTGTAAGTATGCTGTGACTTGGCTGTTCTGGGTAGAGAGTCATATGATGCAAAGCTAACACGTTTTCAGCCCTGCTGTCCCTATTTACTGATTTTCTCTTTCTTCTTCTGTTGTTGCTGCTTTAATTATCTCCAGGGAGATCTAAATGTACAATATGTTGTTCAAACTAGAGGCTTAATTATATTTTTGAAACCTCACTTTTCTGTCTGGAAAATCAATTTTAAGTCTAGAGAGAATCTGAGAAAAACAGCAGGAAAAGAATACAATAGTCCAGCAAACAAATGGTTGTGAGTTTTCGCCCTCTTTGTTTTGAGAAATTGTGAGAAACAGTTTCATTCAGTAGCACAGGCTGGTCTGGAACTCACTATGCACTCTTGACTGACCTTGAACTTGTGGCCTTTATGTCTCAGTGCTGGGATTATATGAATAAGACACTATGCTAAGCTAACAAATGGTTAAGCCTTTAACTGAAATGAGAATCAAAAAAATATATAAACGAAGATATCTGGGGTCCAGCAAGTGACTCCCTGGGTAAAGATGCTTGTCATACAAGCCTGATAATGCGAGTTCAATTTCCAGACGCCACGGTCAGGGGAGAAAACCCATTTCTGAAAGTTGTTTTCTGACCTCCACATGATTATCTGGTATGCACTCCACAACGGTAATAAATAAAGCAAAATAGTTACAAACAAGAGAAAGCAAACAAGACACACTATTGTGCTGATGTTGGGAACTTCAGGCTTGAGCAATGAACATGATAAGAGCACTAGTTAACTACTTTTTGCATAGTACCTCCTTATATCCATATTTAGAACAACTTCAGTAAAAATACATTCTTTTCTAAATACAAAGGCTCTAAGATTTCATTTTTTTGATTGGAGGGGGAATTACTCAAAGAAAAAATGCATTAAGTTTGGCTACAGGTATGGCTCATTGATTAAGAGCAAATACTGCTCATGCAGAGGACCTCAGTTTGGTTCCCAAACCTACATTCAGTGTCTTGCAACCATCTGTAATTCCAGCTCCAGGGCATCTGATACCTCTGGTCTTATTCTATCCCTGCCCCCACATACACATAGTTAAAAAATAATTTTAAAGTCTTTTAAAATGCACCATGCCATACCTATATCTTTCAGTCTCACATCTACAAACTAAGGACCTCCCAGTTATATGTAAGTTATCAATATTAATTGACTGGGTTCCATGAAATGGGTCAGTTTTCATTAATCTCCACATAAACAGCCCAAATGGGGGTTGTCTTTTATTGCTTAATCTATCAATTTGCAAAGGCTTAAATACTAACACTTGAATTGTGGTGTTGTAAAAGAAACTCAAAGTGATAAAAATTGTTATTATAAAGGACTTACTAATAGATTTGCTTGGGAGAGATTAAGTCACACAAGTGAAACTTTGCCTAAGTAGCACTAGCTACAAAACACCTCAAAGATAAGCAGCATGCGCACCAGGCCTATTACAGATAAGTAAAATTTATGGTGCTAGAATGTGAATGTTTATTCACCAGGACTGGCCCTGATTCCAATACCAAAGATATACTTCTAAGGGATAGCTAGAGTTGGAGCAGAATAGAATCATAGCCATCATTAATTTTTGGTCTGCCATTAAGTCTCCTATGTTCCTATGAGGAAAAACAAATTCTGTTACAGGGGGCCTACCAGAGAAGACTACTCAGACACAGTTTATGTCCAGTTGAAAGTCTTTATTCCAGCCAGCTGGGACTAAACTCAGGTATTCAGGACCCCAGAATAGCACTGACAATTTAGAGTAAGGGGTTTTTAAAGGTAGAACTATACCCTGCTATCTCACTTAGCAGCTGCAGAGGGAGGTTTTACACAAGCAAGCAGTTTAACAGAAGCTGAGATAAGCAATTAGATGGAGGGGGAGGTTTGCACAAGCAGGCAGTTTAACAGAAGCCAAGATAAATTAGCTGGAGCATCTTGAATTCAGGTTGCTAGAGTTCAGTAATTTTCCACAGAGCTTTCCATGAAGGAGATCAAATTCTAGTCAAACCTAAAACAGCTTCCACAAGAATATAAGATGGAGGAACCTCTGTACCATCTTGCTCTGTCACAAGTCTGCTATGTAGAAAGGATGACCCCGGGTAACAACTACTCAAAAAGGAATAACACTGGTATACCTAAAAATAATTATGGTGATATCTGTGCTATATAAATCTCCTATCTGCCTAAGTGGCCAGACTTGAAGTCTCCTGACTGTTTAAATTGTTCAAAGTGTAACCTTGGGCCAGTAGAGAAAAAGATTTTAGGATGACAGTGTTTGTGGGATGCATAAGCCTAAGGTGTATATAAGTTAGTAAAATCTTCCATTCATTTCTGACTCTTATTTGGGCATTAGCCACAGTCAGCCATGTGCACTGTGGTTAAGAGCCTTTACTTTATCTCTAAGTGTGTAGAGTGATTTCTCACTGAGAAGGCATATTATTTCTATAACAGGATAATGGGTAATTAATATGTTCCTCCACATCTATTTTCCCCAGATTTCCAGAAATTTTCCAGAAAGCCACTGACCATGGACGAACAAAATGCCTTATTCTGGTCTTTATTTTCATCTCTGGCCTCCAACCTGCAACATCCTATGGCAACTGGAAACGAACTCTGTGGGTTGCTAACTAAGTAAACAAGTTGCTAGGCAACCTCACAATTTGAAATCAAGTGGGTAAGAAAGACAAAGAACAGTAAAGTTTCCATGACAAAGGGAGAATAGAACCTTTTTGGGATCAAAGAGATGAAAATTTGAGTCTCCACTCAATTTGCTGCTGAGTCACCCTCAGTAAAATCATTTAATCTCCATTTTAATGAACCAAGGCAAGTCCAATCCAATCAGGAATTAGAATTATTTGCTATGTGTAAGAAGATCACTGTGCACCTTTGTTATTACCTTGTTTTCTGTTCTGTTTCCTTTGTGTTCTTTTTTTCAACCCAGGGACTCTTTTATTAGGCAATCACTTTACCACTAAGCTATATTCCCATACCATTGCTATTATCATGACTCTCCATGATGCCCTTCTGTTCTCCATTTGCCATGTGGAAACTAGAGTGGGAATGGACTGTCTTACTCCATTCCTATTTTCTTGTCTGTGTTTTCTGATCAAAGTTTCAGAGAGGATTGAACATGCTGGTAACAAAGGGATATTGCTGTAAGGTAAGGAAGGAATGATTCTGTTCTATAAAGAGGTTCACAAATTGCAAACATGCCTCTCATAGTCCCATACCCATCCCCATCTATCAAAGCACCATGCATGCACCTATCTCTTTTTGCCCAGTGGACAGGTATCAGTCTTGTCTCTGTACCTTCTCTGGCCATTTTTCTTGACATTCCAAAAATGTTTAGCACCCACAAAACTTCTCTAGGATGTTACCACTCTGCCTGACATGCAGGCTTACTTTGACAAAGTGTATATATTTATAATGTGCCTCACCAGATCACTGAAATTCTTTTGTTTAAAATGTAATTCAACCTCCCAGTTGCCATGGGAATCACCAAAATCATCAAATTCAGTATTCCAGTCTTTTAATAAGTACTTCAGTGGACAAGATTTGCTACCTCAAACATTGAGCGAACATTCAAAATTCCCTACAGTACCACTATGTAGAAACCTGAAGGACAGTTTTACAGGTGTTTCTGGTTCCAGAAGTTGTAGGCACTTGTGACAACCCCAACCTTTTCATTTACTTCTCCTAAATAGTCCACTGCCAAAGATAATTAAAGTGTGATTTGGATTCCCACTCCCTACCCTACCTTTCATTTTCCAGCATGCCTATGTTCTTGGTCCTTTATTTATTTGTGGGTTAACTTTGTGGCTGATCATTTGGCCACAATTAAAAGTATACTTGTCTTGTTAGGTCCTGGAAATAGAAACCTAATTTGGTACCTTTTTCTTGGTACCAATTCTGTGAGAACGATTATGTTCTAGGAATTTCTGTACCTTCCAGTACTGAAGGGTGACACACCCTAGCTGCTGAAGTTTGTATACAAAGGAACTTACCTAATCCTAACTGCCTCAGATTGCAAGGAAAATAAAGAACAAGTGAGAGCATATGATTTCCATGTAAATAAATAAAGAAATATCCAGATAATTTTGATTCCATTCTCTGCTTCTCCACTACCTCTACCCCTTGACAAAAGAGTTTGCTGCTAGCATATGGCTTCCTGGGAGCATGGGCTACATTCCAGATGTGTTTTCTATTACTGCTTGAGAGACAGAAGCTTGAAGCTATCATCAAGGATGGACCTCCTGTTGCGCCGAAGCTTTCTTTGTCGATGCTGGTGCCAGACTACACCACCAAGAGCCAGAGCAACAAGAAGCAGTATTACACACATGGCAATCAAAACAGAAGACAGAATCTCAACATCCTTTATGGGAATCTTCATGCCCAGCATCTTCACATTGTCCCCTCCGATGTCTCTTAGGATTACTGCTGAAATGGAGGAAGAGAAAAGGGATACCCATACATGAGGTTATCTTCTACAGACACCTCCTAGTAAAACAAGTTCATGAATATAGGATAGAATATCTGTCCCCATTCTTCAAACCAGCTGATGAAGACAAATTTCAAATTTATAATCAGATAATTATAATATTACAGCTGGAAGCTTTCCTTGAAAATCAGTGATGTACCTATTCTGTTTACCCATGAAAAGAGCTAAGAGTCACTGGAGAATACTTAAAATGCTATAGAAAAAATAAAAGATTACACTTGGTCTGCATGGACTCAGAGGGATAAATAAGTGAAACTTCATGAAGAACATTAAGTCAAGCCAGCTTATCCATGTTCATTTTAACTATTAGACTGTGACAGCTTGCCTCCATGCTGTGTGGACTCCCATCTTTGTGAATCATGTTAATAGTAATATCAGGTAGATCTTTTTTGATGACTGTGATAGTTTCTGTCATATAAACATTCCACTGTCTTCAACTGAACTACAAGGCAAAGCTCAAAATTTTAAGTTACACATTTCAACCATCTCAGTCAGAGTATAAACTACCTTTCTAGTCTTAATCTGCTATTATTCAACCACAGAAACTCAATCTTTATTTCCCATAAAATATGGCACCTCCATGGGTTCTATCTTTGTTCAGACTTCTTACTTTGCCTGAATACTTCCCTCTCTTTTGTAGCTCCATGTTACATAGCTGCAATTCATTTGGACAATTAATGGTGCCTTCCTCTAGGGTTCCAAATTGCCTGTGTTCTTTCTAAATCTATGGTTTATCTAGTCTGTGACCTAGGGCTAAGTGACTGAATCCCTAATGAATCTTAGTTTATTCTTTTTATAAAATGTAGATAATGATAACCATGCCTAACAAAGGGGATTATTATCAGATTTAAATGAGTTAATAATATGCATGGAATATTTAGCATGGCACCTGGTAAATAGCAAATATACAATAATTATAAGATAGTATTACTGTTTACACGTTCTGTGCCCAGCATCTAGCATTACAATTATTGTTTCTGTGTCTCATTCCATTTTTAGGCACTGGAAAGTAGCAATTATATCTTATTTGTTTTTGTGCCCCTGGTAATTGACACTTGTTTGATGAACGCATAATTGGATGAATGAATGTTCTCACAGAACTGAAAGAAGATGCAAAGTAATGAGTTCAAATAGAAACTGGAAAGCATTCTGGTTCTGAGTTTACATTCTGGCATTTATTCTTCTTGTGACCCTGAACAAACTCCCAATTTAGAAAATTAGTGAGCTTTATTAGTCCAAATATTTTGACAGTTTTTTCCTCAAGTGAGAGTTTATGAAAAATGCACACATTTTATTTATGTATGTATACAAATGTGCACACATTATATACACATATGCACATGCACAAATATATGTTTATATATACACATATGTAACAAACGATAAATGTATACATACACACATATAGTTATACGACATTAGGTTACTTGAGTTGAAGAAAATGTGATCTGAGCACTGCCCTTACATTACCTTTCTCTAACCTTTCCAGGATACATCCCAGTCCATGGTTAACAATTCATGAGACACTTAAGTAGATCATAGGGACTTTACTAATGAGAAGGTGGCTTTCAGTAGAGCTGAAAATCTCCAGAGTAAATTGATATTCTTTAGTATCCCTCTAACATGGGGTTTTTAATCTTTGGGGACATGGTCTCACTTTAAGTCTAGGCTTGTCTTTAACCTATGGTTCTCCTGCTCTACTTCCCAAGTATGGGGATATCAGGGATGATAGCACACATGGGTCTAATAGTCCTTGTACCTCACATAACTTTCTGAATCTTTCTGGTAAAAGACACAAGTGGAGTAAAGAATGAAACAATAATTTTGACCTACACATCATAGGAAAAGAATATTTTCTCAAAGAGAAACAAACAAATGGTCCCCAAGCTACAATTCCCTGGTATTCTATAGAGAAAAGAATAAAAGTAGTTGTTAAAGGACATCTGATATTTGTTCTAGTCTCACATTATTCATGTAGCAATCTTTGTTTTTACTATAACTCTTTCAGGTCTGACCTAGCCGGGTTTGGAATTCTCTTCTCCCTCATAAAACAGTTTGTGAGCTAAGAATACAGCTTTCTATGTGGCTGTTTTCCCAAGCTCCAAAGTTTATGGGTGATACAAGGTGGATAAACATGTTGAGGGTAACTGAATCCTAGTTCATTGGCTTTTAACATCTTACAGAAATCTTAAGGTGTTATATTATGGTGCCCAAGTTTAGTCATGCTAGAAATGCTAGAAGTGTCATATATTACACACACACACACACACACACACACACACACACACACACACACTCCACATGTAACTTCTCAGAGTATAAATATATATCATCCAACATACCTTTTCCAATTTCTTTGGTAATGGTAGTCATAGTACTTAAATGTTCTGTGGGAAAAGACAAGAGGTTGATCCTATTATTCTTTGTACTAATCTATAAGATTTCTATAGGATACTTACATTACTTGAAGCAATTTCTCTTCGGAATTTACTACTTTATTAAGGTCCCTCTGATTGGATTTAATACCTGCTCTAAGAAAACAAGGGAATCCATGCCTGGTACTTTAAACTGAGTCAAAAAACCATAGTAGGGCAGAACATGGGTCTTGTGTGGTGGGGGGTATAGAATACTGTTGTTTATCAAATTAACATAGCATCAAGCCACCTCCTACATAGTTACATTTATCCTTTTAGACATATGATACTCTCAGCCTTAATGAAAGAAGACTCTTTTCTGTGAATAATGATGAATACAGAGGCCTATCGCTGCACAGGTGCTCAGATCTAAACAACACATTTATACTATCCACTCTAAGGCTTTAGGAACACGGTGGAAGAAGTGTCACAAAGAATGTAAGAGATGGAAGATATGGAGAAGGGCTGCAAAATGTCATCTCCTGATCAAGACAAAGCCCCTATAATCACAAACTCAAAGCAGGTGTGGATGCCTGTCGTGGATCTATACAAGAATGGCATTGTCAAGAGTTAAGCATAGATGGAGAAGTAGCTCAGAGGTCTCTATTGCTCATGGCTGGACTTTGCTACAGATAGATTTAGGGATAGTGAGGACCATTGCCTTCAGTTAAGTACCCACTGATGATCTCACCAGGCTCCAACAAATAGTTCCAATCCAATGGTCATGCAGATGGCTCTGATTAAACTGAATGTCACAAAACCAACCTAAAAGTTATGAATCTGAGAAAGGGACTGGTTGAGGTAATTAAAGTGAGAAAGAGTAAGCAGAATATATTAACAGACATGCATGAAACTGTCAGGTAAGAAATTTCATCAGTAAAAACCAATATTAAAATGTTAATTTGATTTTGGGTGGTCACAGGAAACAAGGGCAAGTGCATAGACCTTGGAAGCCAAAATATAACTTACTCATCTGCCTTTATTTCTGTGTTTTTTGTCCCTTTCTCTATCCTCATTGAATACTGTATGATTTTTCCTCCAGCATTTCCCACTATCTCTTCAGAAAGCCCCTGCTCTCTGTCAAATGTACTGCTCTACACATTCAATCCTGTCTCAAAATAATTCTTCCTTTCTTCCTTCAATGAAGCTGAGCTATTTTCTGGGATATGTGCTATTTAAATATTGTTTCTCTCACTTTAGTAAAGAGGGATTTCTTTTGGGGGCCACATTAACTAACTAGAAAAACAAAAACCTTTCTTGTTACTCTCATCTAGTAGTTCTTTCCATCCATGGAAGTCTTTGGTTATTAGTATAGTCTTTCTCAATTCCCATCCCAAGAATAGACACTTTCATTCTAGTTACTTGTATACTTGTATATTCACTCCAGTTTTACCACTCATGGTCAATCATGGTTATACTGGATTGCTCATCCAGAGCTGCACCACCACAGAAATCCCAAAACTAATAGAAATATCTCTTTTTAATGCTTATTCTTTTGCTAGCAAAAATCCTGTTATTCTCCCCCTCATTAAACATTTTATTCCTAAACCATTTGACTTCCCTGACCTACCCATTTCATCCATATCTTCTCTTCCATTAATTACCAGACTAGAATCCACAGTCCATAACTTCAAACACTCATATATGGAATCACAATAACTATACTTGCCTTGTATTTTACCCAATATGCTGAATAACACCAGAAAAAAATACACATGTAAAAATTTGGATTCACTTTGTCTAATTTTAACTAAGCCCTCAATGCTATAAGGCAATAATGATTTTATTTCTCACTCCAAAGTAGCTATCCTAACCCTTCTCCCAATTTCCTCAAATAGTTCCTCCTCAGCAGATGACTCTATAAGCTACATCACAGAGGAATTAAGAGAGCATAAGGCAGAAAACCTGTTTGCCAAGATCTCCTTCTAAGCCTACACACTGATCCTCTTTGTTCTGTCTACACTCTTATCACAATAGAAAGATTCTCTTCCTCCAGTATTGTATTCATCCTTCATCTTAGATGTGGCTCATATGCCTCATAGCTTCATCATGAACTTTATCCAAGAAATAGGCTTTTTAGAAATTGGAAACAACCTAGAGGTCCCTCAATAGAAGAATGGGTAAAGAAAATGTGGTACATTTACACAATGGAGTATTACTCATCTGTTTTTTTTTTAAAAAAAAAAGTACATCAGGAAATTTGAAAGCAAATGAATGGAACTAGAAAAAAAAAATCCTAAGTAAGGTAACCTAGACCCAGAATGACAAACATGGAAATATCCATTTATATGTGGATATTAACTGTAAAGTTGATGATAACTAAACTACAATCTGCAGACCCAAACAGGGTAGGTATAAGCAATTAGATCTCATTAGGAAAGGGAAGTAGAATAGATAATTATAGATCAACACAGATTGGGGGCAGGAACAGAAGGATCGAGTGGAGAGGGGATTGTGGGAGGGAATATCGGGAGAAACGGCTAAAATTAAGTGACATTTGAGAGGCAGTATAAAAGCCTAATACACTAGAAATTTCTTAAAATACATATATGAAGGTGATCTAAATGAAATAGCCAAGTAACAAGGGAGGCACAGTCCCAGTCCCAGCTGGCCATCCCTTGTCACCAAACAAAGCTTCCTGTACCAGGATTGGGGTACATCTAATTGAGTTGTTGGCCAAAAGGGCCCAATGGGAAGGCCCGAACAACTCAGGCTATTGATAAGACTACAGATTGTTTGCCACAACCTGAGAGCAAGACCCCATTGCTGAAGACAACACCTGCACAACTCATTGGACATGGAGAAGCTACGCTTGTGCCCACATACAAGCCTCCACCTCTGAGTTCTAGCTTCTTTGGTACAGAAATGTATTCTGCATGCTCTCAAAAGAGAAACATAAACACCAAGTCAGCCACAAACCCTTTGCCACAAACCCTTTCATCTACAATGGTGTCATGCCTGCAAGATGTGCTAGAGCAATGGGGGCACAAAACTTGTGGGATTAACCAACCATAACTGATTTAACTTAAGGTCCATTCTATGACATGGAACCCATACCCAGTACTACCTAGGTGGCCAAGAACCAATGACTAGATGGCCCAGTGACCTAACAGAAAACTAAATAATATTGATCTACAAGAGGAAAACAACAACAGAAAGCATAGTGATTAAATGACTTCTAATGACATTCTGCTATATTCATAGATCAATGCCTTGTTCAGCCATCATCAGAGAAGTTTTCTCCTACAGCATTTGAAACAAAGATAGAGAAGCACAGCTAGATGTTATGCAGAGTATGAGAGATCTTGGAACAATCAGCTCTAAATGGTAAATCTCCATCAAATCCCTCTCAGCTCAAGAGCTCAGGGAACCCCAAGGAAGAGGCAGCAGAAAGAGTGTAAGAGCCAGTGAGGATGGAGGCCACGAAGAGAACAAGACCATCTAAATGAACATGAGCAAAGCTTACATGAACTCACAAAGACTAAGGCAGCATGTACAGGGCCTACATGGGTCTGCACCAGATCCTCTGCATATATGTTATAGCTTTTAGTTTAGTGTTTTTTATAGAATTCCTAAGGGTACAAATGAGTTGGTCTCTGATTCTTGTGCCTTTTGGGTTCTTTTCTTTCTATTTTTTTGTCTTGTAAAATTTTGATGTGACAATTTTTGTTTTATCTTATTATATTTTATTTTGTTATATCTTTTAAAAAAATGAATGAATGAATGAATTGGAAACCTAGCCACTTGGGTAAAGGTTAACAACTGAACACTCATTAATATCTGCTGGGAGAGGGAAAATCAATTTTCTCCAATGGAGTGACACTGGGTATATCAACCAGTCCAGGGCAGGTCTCATGGTCAGGAGTAGCCGACCAATGTATACTGTACTTCACTCATGGTCAGGAGTAGCTGACCAATGTATACTGTACTTCACTGTGTGTGTGTGTGTGTGTTTCTGTGTGCACGCATGCTCATGGGTACTTTTATTTGGTTACAGTTTGGTGGCTTTTATTTGGTTACAGTTTGGTGGAGTTTTGTTGCTTATTTTTCTATTTGTTTTTTCTTTCATTTTGCTTTCTTATTTCTGGAAGGGTGTTCTTGTATGGGGTTTTTATTTGCTTTTTTTTTTAAAGAACTGAAATTTGGGTGGGTAGGGAGAGGGAGAAAATCTGGAAGGACTTTGGGGAAGGGGAAGAATATGATCAGAATATACTTAAATCTAAAAATTTGTTTTAAATTGTTAAAATAAAAACCTTAAAAGAAAAAAGTTAGGCTTTCTCTCTTTATCTTTAACTCTATTTTCTGATTGCGCTGTTAGGATATGTAGAGTCAGAGCAAAATGAGATCATTCATATTGGATAAAGAAACAAAACTGCAAATAGGTTAAGAGGTATGGGTTGGATCTTCTCAAAGGGTAATTTGAGGTACTCTGATGATACATATTGAGATGTTCTCATATTTTGAATGGCTCATATATGAAGATAACTTATAATGTCATAAGAGAGCCTATTTCTTGAATCTATAGCACCTTGATGGTGTGTCTTCTGGTCTGTGGACTGATAGAAAAATGAAGTCTGGGTTCTGGGGAATTGTACCACAGTAATAAGTAAACACAACAGAAGCAATATTCTAGCATTACGATTTGTCAGAGAAAAACTCTTCAATGATAGGAGAAATCGTATGTGCTATCATTTTATCTTCTTCCATTAAGTTAAGAACAGAGTTGTATTCTGTACTCTAGTTTGCTAAGCCTGTTTGAATAGTCAAAGGTAACTTGCCTCTCCATGTCTTTTGATAGAGTCAGGGGCTGCCAATTTCAGAATAGTTACTCTAATACCATTATTTTCCAAAGCAGTGTGATATATGAAAAAAAACTTAAAAAACATCCATACAAGTAACATTATATGGACTGAGCTGGCTATAGTTAGGAAAATATACGTATATATAGATATACATACATGCAATCAATAATAATTAATGGAAAAGTGGTTCGTGACTGAAAAACAGCATGGGGGACTATATGCAAGGGTTTGGAGAGAGGAAAGAGAAGGGAGAAATGCTATAATTGTATTATAATCTCAAAAATAAAAACAAAGTAAAAAATATGCATTGATCCAAAAAGCTTCTTGGAAGGGAGATAGTTAGTGCTGGTGGCTGAACATAGTTCATGTTGAAGAAGAGAGACACTTAACATTTCACTTAGAGATAATTCTGAAGAACTGTCATTCACAACCTTCACAAAGCCATGATTATTCACTAGAATTATTTTCTTCTCTTTAGCAAAGGACTCACTATGAACTGGGGGTGTAAATCAGTGAGCATGTCTGTGTCTGTGCATGATGTGTTGTGTTGTATATATGCTCACATGTGTTTGTGCAGGTATGTGTGCTCATGCCCATGCATTCAAAACCTTTGCTTCATTGACAGAGTCTCCCACTGAACCCAGAACTTGCTGTTTGGCTTAGCTAGTAAGTTCTCAGCATTTTCCTGTCTTCATCCTGCAGCACTTGGGTTACAGGTATTTTGGTCACACCCAGCTTCTTTTAAATGACTGTAAACTTAGGTTCTCATGCTTGCTTTCAAACACTGTTGCCCACTCAGCCATCTTCCCAGCCCCACACACTTGTCTTTATTGTCAATGACCACATCAATTCACTAAGAATTTCCTTGACATAGTACTTCTATTAGACATTAAATGATGAATTTGTAAATAAATAAACTAATTTTTTGTCAAAGGGTGGTAAACCTACACTAGCAAAGAGCCCTCCCAGTTTCAGACTAGGCCAACACATGTGAACTTATTACATTTGCAAGGGAGAATGAGAAATGCAGCTTGGGGAAATGTCTAAATGGGCCCTGTTCTATGATAAAACCTGTTTCTTCTGGGCCAGTAGGGGGAAGTTCAAGTGGTTCTTTACTATCACCTGGTTTCTACAGGCTAGACAAAAGATTAGAAAATAACATACTTGAGTGGCTTGGGTCCTACCTTTGTGAGACAAGACAGTAAAGATGGTCTCCATGCCAGCATGAACATGGTCAGTCACGTGGCAGTGCATCAGCCATGTCCCGGGGTTGCTGGCTACCATCTCTACAACCTCAAATGTCCCTGGGAAGAGATCCACAACATCTGCCCGGTAACTGTGTCCATTCTGTAAGAAAAATGATGGAGAGAAGAACTGAAAATTATAGGAACCAATTTACAGCTTACAGGAACTAAAAGTCTATGATGCTAAGGATTAAAAGATAAAGTTCTTAAAAACTCCAAAATGTCTGTACCAATGAGAAACTTCAAGTGTCCATTTTATTTCTCTCTCCTAGAATCCAATCATGTAAACTAAAACAACACAGCATTTTCCTCCTTCTACTTTTCCATCAAGTGCCACAGATGAAAGATGTTACCAGTTCTTTTAGAGGGTTGAAACCTAGTTTCTCTGAAATTTTCCATAAGCTAAAATCTGGAGAGTCTGGATTAAGTTCTGATCTCTAAGAAGGATCTACATGTTTCCTTTAGAAGTGAATTCAGTTTAGTTTCTCCTTTTTACCAAGACCCTGATCAAAATTGTTCTAGATCCTCTAAGTCTACAATGATGCCTTCAATTCTGTGCTCTTTTCCTAAGATTAAAACATTTTCATAATCACAAATTGTTTCTATGTAGCTCCTGAACTTAAACTCTTGTTATGATGGATTAAAGACTTTTAGGGATTTTAAGAATATTTGAAATCCTTTGCTCTTAAGGTCATTGCTCATTGAGTCTAAAGTCTTTGGCTCAGATACAGTGACACTGGTACCTTCCATCTACTTACTTTTTGTTTGTTTGTTTGTTTTTTGCTTTTTGTTTTTTCGAGACAGGGTTTCTCTGTGTAGCTTTGCACCTTTCCTGGAACTCGCTTTGAAGACCAGGCTGGCCTCAAACTCACAGAGATCCGCCTGCCTCTGCCTCCGGAGTGCTGGGATTAAAGGCGTGTGCCACCACCGCCCGGCACCATCTACTTACTTTTTAAATGAGGCAGTCTCTTACTTACCAGAAGGAAAAGCTAAAGACTGGAAGTTAGTACTGTTGGGATACACAATTGAGTAGAATCCCCTAATAGATGTTCCATATTGTAGACCTTCATATTTCCTTAACCATTACCTTATTCCTTGCCATTGCCTTCTGCAATGACTCTCAAGGCATTGTTTTAACCACTCCTATGGGGCTCAACCATATTTCAGCTCACCTGGTAGAGGAAACTCTCTGCATGGAAGTGTACAGTGTGAATGTCAGTATCTTGGCCCATGGCTAGCATGTACCAGGCTATTCTTTCTCCTTGGTATACAGTAAGACCCCTGAGATTAGCATAGAGTTTCCCGTTGATGGCTGTAAAAGAAGAAAATGTCTCATATCTTTTCTTTTATTTACATTTTGCCCTATGTCTATTTCCTATCATTTCTGATGATAGCAATAGACTACTAATTTTCTACATCTCTCTCTTCAATGTATTTTCCACAATAATGATTTCAGAGTTATCTCTAAGCAATTATTCTGACCATGTAATTCTAAAGTTAAAAAAAAAATTAAGGGCTCCTCCCTTTCCCAAACAATAACTCCATGGTTCTACAGCTTAACCAATAAGTTCATTCAAAATACACCTCCACACCACCTTCCCAGATTCATCTCCTACTACCAACAGCTTTGATTCCAATTAGTAAGATTCTTTTCTTTCACCGTCATTCACTTGGTCTATACATGTTATCTGGATTCTTAGGTTTCTGAGTTTCCCTCTCATAAATACTGCTTCCTTATTATTTCTCTTTAAAATTTCACCTCCTTAAGAAAACTTTTCTGATTTCCTAAGCTGCTCTGTGTAACCTCAATTTCTTATGCCACCTTCCCCCTTTGAACTCCTCCAATACTCCTCAGCATGATTCATTAGAACTCTCCAAAATCTGTCTGCCAGGTTTATTTATCTTTTAAGGTGTGAAAGCTTATGCTGCCAACTTGTCTTAGGTTACTAATAAGTAGGAAATAAATTTATTTAGTTATTTATTTATTTATTTGCAGTACTGCAAGCAGATAACTCAGACTACAATATACATTGTTTTGATGACCACATTCTCTTCCAAAGTCACATCCTATGCGACAAAGACACTGATATTCATTGTTACATCAACTCATATTGGTAGAATTTTACCCAAACCAATTTCCTCCCACGTCTCATTTTCTCACACATGAGAGGTAATTTCTACTCTACTCTTCAAGAGGGAAAATAATGGAAGGAACAGCTACAATATGAAACCCTGTCTCGAAAAACCAAAAAGTGGATTTGGTAAAAAAAAAAAAAAAAAAAAAAAAAAGAACCAAAATTGCTCAGCTCAGCCACTTCTAGATATATTATCTCTTTGATCATAGAAAAGGGTGCAAATTGGTTCACTAATTGGTTCTGGTAAGATCCTGCCTCTCTTAATGCAGAGAAATTTTGTTGTCCATTGATGTCAATGACAATTTAGAAAACCTGTCTGTTGCCAGGAAAGTATCAGCAATCATATTTAGTTATAAAATGAAATTCAGTTTTCCAATTAGCATTCTCAGTAATAAGGCTCATATTTTATCTTAACCATTTATTTTTCTCAGTTGGTTCAGAAATGTAGAGGAAGAGTTAGAATATTATTTTTCTTGTCCCCTTGGACTACAACATTATTTTTATTTGTATTTATAGTACTAGTACTAAGCAGATGTCCAAAGATACCTGCTATCTAGCTACCTAGGTAGAGTAATATCTGAAGTTTGGAAAATGGACACCTGAGTAGGTGAAAGTGGGTATTAGCCAAGTCCTGAATTGGGAGGATGTAACTGTGCCCTTATTTCCTCTTTGTTCTAGCCCATTTTATTTCCTTGATTTGACAGAAACTAAAAAAGTTCACTTTGTAAAGTTGTGAATCATCTGTTCTAGTGTGAATCACTCATCTCTCCATCAAGGGGAAATAGATAAAATCTGTAGGACAATAGGATACTACTTTTGAGTTCCATTAGAGTCATTATCAAAGCTGCACCTCACTTTCAGATCAAAGAAATCTTGGGCGAGAAGTGCTAGGGAGAGATCACTTCATACATTCCTCTGCACTTAAGCCCTCCCTCTTATTTGTGACTTTTTTGTGAAAAGCTACCAGATAGCTAGAGCAAAAAAAGGCTTTGATGATAGTTCTCCCACCCTAGATCCATTCAAGAGCCAAAAAGTTCTTCCTTGTATGTAACGTAAGTTCAGTGTGCTATTCTCTATGACTATCTTCTCCAACTACTCCATGTAAATTCAAACTTTGTTTTAAAAGTAATAAAAATGACAAATTCTCCTTCTTGTGTCTATATTGACAAAACAGATCCAGAATTTAAAGTGGTGATTAAATATCATGCGTTTGAGAGGAAAACAAATTCAGAATTTTGAAACAGAGGGGCACTTACCAGGTGGCTATTTATGTATATAGAGGGCCATAAATGTCCATCTTCCATTATCTAGTATGTTAAAATTTGCTTGTGTCATGATGATCACTTTAAAGAATTAGCTTCCTTCTTTCTGGGCACCTCATCTAATATATACCACGTATCTGATTTGCAAATATATGTGTAGAATAATAAGAAAGGCTTTTCTCTAAGTCATTTCTAATCCACTGTCCAACTTTCTCATCTATTCCAGAATTGTGCACCCATAGATAGAGATGAACTTAACAGATCATCTCATGAAAACAGTGCAGACTACTTTGAAATAGGAGTAACTTCTTTTCTACAGACCATGCATTTTATTGCTCTCCAAGAAAGTCGCATCCTGTGGGTTAACATGGTGTGTCTCTCTGGGCCCATAAATTGCGATATTCTCCTCCAAATACCAAGATTGGTTCTCATCAAAGATCAAAAACAGCAAGGCAAATTCCCGGTCCATATCATTCCGACCTCCATGGGGTCCCAAGATGCCCTTTCGACAGACGACTAAGGGTCCCACCAGGCCACTATACATGTCCTAATGAAGGGAGAAAGACATGAGGTTACTCCTGAATGAGGGTAGTCTATAAAGAATTGAGTCACAAATAAGCATACTCAAAGCCCCTTAGCACTACATCATAAATTCCTTATATTCATAAGTATGCTATTCTGATATCTAAATTCATCCTAGCAATCATTTAAGACACAGTTGAGATGTGATGTATAACTTATGCTTTAGCTAGATTGAATTATTCATTAATTTTTAAATATACTGACCTAATGACTTTTTAGGCAGTTTCCTATGCTTGCAGTGCCCTCCTTCCAACATACTCCTTATCTATGGCACACTCTCCTTTAGATTTCCAAGCCCAGATTACAGGTAGCTTCCTTTCTGATACCTTCTCTACTTCCCCTTTGCTCAGTTGTACCATACACTTTGAAAGTGGGAAGATGCCTTATATTTGTATCATCACCAAGAAAAATACACACAATAGAGCAGACACAATATATTGCTGATGACTTGTTGTGATTAACTGGCTAGATAGACAAAATGTATTTTCCAGATTAGGAAACAGAGGCAGCATGACTTTAATATAGTTATTCCAAAGTCACTCTGGAGCCAAATTTGTGACTAGCCCCCTAATTTCATGGCAACTACCCCCATTTTTTTTAAAAATATGAGAACATACTGCTTTACAAGATCCAAAAAACATGAGACAAAAAAGAAACTCCTCATGACAAGTATCTGATGTCATACACTACCTTCATCCCTCTTCTTGACTATTAAAATAAGGCAAGCATTTGAGGAAATTTTCTCAAATCCCAGGTATTACAGAGCTGTTTGTTGGTTGGTTTTTTTGTTTGTTTGGGGTCTTTTGTTTTTTGGGTTTTTTTTTTTTTTTTTTTTTTTGGTTTTCCGAGACAGGGTTTCTCTGTGTAGCTTTGCGCCTTTCCTGGAACTCACTTGGTAGACCAGGCTGGCCTCAAACTCACGGAGATCCACCTGCCTCTGCCTCCCAAGTGCTGGGATTAAAGGCATGCACCACCACCGCCCGGCTTGTTTGTTTGTTTTAACTACATCTTTTATCATCGTTTTACCAGGTAGTTTGCTCATTTCTGAGATCCTTCTTTCAATATTCAAATTTTTCTTTACCTTGATGGGATCCACTGCAGAATAATAAATCCAGGAAACACAAGCAGAGTCCCTGGGCCCAGGACCAGATCTTTCTGGGATATTCCACTGGTAAGTAAGGACTTCACCTGAGAAGCGTAGCAAGGCAAATATCTCATTGGAGCAAGTACAGCATTTCTCTCAATTTCTAAAAGCTACAGTAGGTGAGGCTCCACTCCCTCAAGATCTGTCTCCATCATGCTCATAGCAGGCTCCACTTTATTTTTGTTACACTTTTTTCTCCTTTCTTGGAAAAACTCAGTATTTCATTTCTAGCCTGTCCAGGCACAGAGCTCAGGCCTAATCCTGTGGTGATGCAGTCCTGCTGCTGTTTTCAGTAGCGGTGATGTTGTATCATTTAGTTTCCGTGTACATCTTGATTTCCTGCTGTTGTCCTAAGTGAAACTGTTTCCATTCGCCCTGTGCTCATCTCCCTCCTCTCTTTTAATACTCTCCAGAAGATTTCAGTCACATACCATGATCTGTGTCTTGAAAAAATCTTATACTTTAAGCAAGACTTACCTTGTTACTAAGCTCTGAATCCAAGATTATAATTAAACATTAGGTATCATTTAATACTGTCCTAATAGCAAATAAAAATGGAAATTCTCTATTAGGGGATATAGTTCAGTGACAGAGCATCTAAATATGTATGAAGGCCTACCTTCAACCTTCAGGACCAAACACAACCTAAAATTGCTATAAATTTAATTCTCTCATTTGAAAGAAATACTTTTTTTCCCAAAGTGTGCCCCCAATGTTTAGAAACAGTATATCTATTCTCCTAGTTGACAAGACTCAAAACTTTAATGTTCATCTATTCAGCATCCAATGAAGTACCAAGTCTTGTGATTCTATCTCTATAACATATTTTAGGTTCTTTAAGATTATTTTATTTTAAATTCACATATATGGAGAGTATGTCCACATACTGTTGATGGCCATTTAGACAAGAAGGCACCATGACATTCTTCGGAGCTGGAGCCATAGATGATTGTAAGCTGCCTGGTATGTGTTTTAGGAACTGATTTCACATCCTCTGGAAGAGCAACATTTGCTCTTAACCATGGATTCATATCCCTACTCCAGATACTTTCAAGATTCGCAAGTAGCTGCCATCAGAGATTATATAAACAGATTATATAACAGTAAAATTTTATATATATACATATATATATATATATATATATATAT